CGGCCATTACCACGCACATCTCCCTCCATCCAGGTAAGTAAAGGCCGAGCGTGGCGCCTGGTCCGAGCATCTCACAGCCTCCACGCTGCGGCCCTGTCCACGGCACACACCAGTCCTCTAAGGCTCACCACACTAGACACACTGCACACAGCTCCGGGGGAGGCCTGTGGTGGCATATCTGAGCCCCCGAATGGGTCTCCCGCGCGGCTTCTGTGGCAGGGCCTGCGCCCAAGGCCAGCCACGGCCAGCCACTGACCGCTGCTTCCACACAGCTGTACCTGCGCCCCCTCCCAGGGAGCCCAGATCCCCGTCTACGCACTGTCTCCGGTCGGCATGGACCTCCCCAAGAAGCTAAGGAGCGAGCCAGCAAGCCTCCTGCCACCTGCAGGCCTGCACACCATGACCAGCTCCACGGCCACCAGAACGCCCTCAAGGTCAGTCGTGTGGTACGCCCTGTTATCCCACCCCATCCGGCCCTGGGCCTGTAGCAGAGTGTGTGCCAGGTGCCCTCAGCCTGGGATGGCCGGTGAAGCAGGGGCACTCGGCGCCAGGAGGACGGGGCTGCGGGGCAAAGCCCATCTGGCCAGCAGTGGCGAGGGAGACCGAAGCCGTGCAGAGCAGTTCCATGCGCTCGTTAGGCTGTGGAGGCCGGCCCCCAGCAGCGGCCCTCACCCCAGCCCTGCCCTGGACACAGGACTCCAGGGGAGCCAACTCCTCTTCCACACGCAGGCCCAGTGCAGACCTGACCAGCCACGCCTGGACCCGCTGCCCACGCCAGCCCAGCAAGGCCACCCCAGCACTCCACAGGCCTGAGCGGCTTCCTCCTCCTCCTCACCCCTCCCTCCAACTCCTGCTCTCCTCTCCTCACCCCTCCTGACTCCAGCTCTCCTCACCCCTCCTGACCCCAGCTCTCCTCACCCCTCCTGACCCCAGCTCTCCTCACCCCTCCTGACCCCAGCTCTCCTCACCCCTCCTGACCCCAGCTCTCCTCACCCCTCCTGACCCCAGCTCTCCTCACCCCTCCTCTGACCCCAGCTCTCCTCTCCTCACCCCTCCTCTGACCCCAGCTCTCCTCTCCTCACCCCTCCTGACCCCAGCTCTCCTCTCCTCACCCCTCCTCTGACCCCAGCTCTCCTCACCCCTCCTGACCCCAGCTCTCCTCACCCCTCCTCTGACCCCAGCTCTCCTCCTCCTCACCCCTCCTCTGACCCCAGCTCTCCTCCTCCTCACCCCTCTGACCCCAGCTCTCCTCACCCCTCCTCTGACCCCAGCTCTCCTCACCCCTCCTCTGACCCCAGCTCTCCTCTCCTCACCCCTCCTCTGACCCCAGCTCTCCTCACCCCTCCTCTGACCCCAGCTCTCCTCACCCCTCCTCTGACCCCAGCTCTCCTCTCCTCACCCCTCCTCTGACCCCAGCTCTCCTCACCCCTCCTCTGACCCCAGCTCTCCTCCTCCTCACCCCTCCTCTGACCCCAGCTCTCCTCTCCTCACCCCTCCTCTGACCCCAGCTCTCCTCTCCTCACCCCTCCTCTGACCCCAGCTCTCCTCTCCTCACCCCTCCTCTGACCCCAGCTCTCCTCCTCCTCACCCCTCCTCTGACCCCAGCTCTCCTCTCCTCACCCCTCCTCTGACCCCAGCTCTCCTCCTCACCCCTCCCTCCTACTCCTGCTCTCCTCCTCCCCACCCCTCCCTTTGACTCCTTTTCCACTCCAGCTCCGCAGCTCCCTCCGGGCACGTGAGCCTGGTGCAGGCACATGCTGCGGCGGTGGTGGCACACAGCTGCCCACTGGACAATGTCCCAGTGGGATAGGATGGGATGTCGTGCCACCCTGTCAACAGAAACATGGAGCTCCAGCTGTCCCTGAATCAGGGCAGAGGCTGTGTTGTGTAACATGCTTCTGCATGAGGCCAGGGAAGAGGCGCAGGGCCGGCCCCCAGGGGCCTGCACAGAACCAGTGGAGGGAAACCTCTCTAGAGGTGAGACCGACAGAAACGAAGGCACGCTAGTGGTACACAGGAAGGGCAGGTAGATGCCGAACTAAAACACTGCACCACTACCCCCTCCCCATCACCAGCCAGAGAGAGGGAAGGGAACACCTGGGAGAGAGCTGCAGATGCGGAGCATCTAGGCAGAGCCCTAGATGCGGCCTGCAGAGCTGGGGGTGGCCCGGGTGGGCCTGCTGGGCCCGCGGCGGCCTGGGGCTCAGATCCCCTCAGTGCCACAGGCAACTCAGACTCTTAAGGCCATGAAAGGGGACATTTGCTCATGAAGCAGGTGAGATCGCCGTGCCGACCGATGGTGCTGTGCATGTTTACAGAGGCGATGCTGTGCTTTCATGGTGTTGGGGATCAAACCCATAGCGCCACACAGGCCTGGATAAACGTGCAGCACTGAACTGTACCCCAGCCCAGTGGGGTTCTTCACGAGCAGGGTCTCAGAGGCAGAAGGCCCTGTGCCCATGCCAGTCTAGAACTCACCTCTCACCAATGGCCGTCCCTGCCGTCTGGGCTGGCCGGCCAGCGCCCCTCATCTTGTTATGGACGTCATGTCCTCTGCTCTCACTGCCAGCTGTCCAGGAGGCGTACAGTGGCTTCCCTGCCTCTAAGAGACGGAGGAGGCGCTGCGGGCAGAGCCTGCGCTCACAGCAGGACCACAAGGAAGCTGCACACAGCCCTCCTCTGGGTGGAGAGGAGCTCATGACCTGAAGCTAGGATAACAGAACGCAGGGTCAGATCGGAGACAGATCCAAGGTGCTGCAGGGGCCGGGACCCCTGACAGAACACAGATCGGATTGGTGACAGGGGTGTGAAAGGCAGCCTGAGAAATTCACCTACAGTGCGTCAAAGGTCCAAACACAAAATGCAAACCACGGAGAATTCAGAAGAAAATACGGGACAAAAGTGCCCAGTCCCTGCCCAGAAAATGATCATGACCGTCCACTCACGATGAACACGTGCCACGCGTGGTACAGTGGCCACGGTGGGAGGGCAGGCCCACAGTGCCCACACAGCCACCAGGAAGCACGTCCCAGGCCCGCCCTGCTGCGTCTGCCCCAGACAGAAACACAGGGATGGAGCCAATCCAGGTGACTGGGCCAGTGCACAGGGACCAGGGCAGGCACAGAGCGGTCAGCACACCAGTGCACACAGGAGGCCTGGGGCGGTCAGCACACCGTGCACACAGGAGGCCTGGGGCGGTCAGCACACCAGTGCACAGGGCAGGCACGGAGCGGTCAGCACACCAGTGCACACAGGAGGCCTGGGGTGGTCAGCACACCGTGCACACAGGAGGCCTGGGGCGGTCAGCACACCAGTGCACAGGGCAGGTCTGGAGCGGTCAGCACACCAGTGCACAGGGCAGGTCTGGGGTGGTCAGCACACCGTGCACACAGGAGGCCTGGGGCGGTCAGCACACCAGTGCACAGGGCAGGTCTGGAGCGGTCACCACACCAGTGCACAGGGCAGGTCTGGGGTGGTCAGCACACCAGTGCACACAGGAGGCCTGGGGCGGTCAGCACACCAGTGCACAGGGCAGGCACGGAGCGGTCAGCACACCAGTGCACACAGGAGGCCTGGGGTGGTCAGCACACCGTGCACACAGGAGGCCTGGGGCGGTCAGCACACCAGTGCACAGGGCAGGTCTGGAGCGGTCAGCACACCAGTGCACAGGGCAGGTCTGGGGTGGTCAGCACACCAGTGCACACAGGAGGCCTGGGGCGGTCAGCACACCAGTGCACAGGGCAGGTCTGGGGCGGTCAGCACACCAGTGCACAGGGCAGGTCTGGGGTGGTCAGCACACCAGTGCACACAGGAGGCCTGGGGTGGTCAGCACACCAGTGCACAGGGCAGGTCTGGGGTGGTCAGCACACCAGTGCACAGGGCAGGTCTGGGGTGGTCAGCACACCAGTGCACAGGGCAGGTCTGGGGTGGTCAGCACACCAGTGCACAGGGCAGGTCTGGGGTGGTCAGCACACCAGTGCACGGGGCAGGCACGGAGCGGTCAGCACACCAGTGCACAGGGCAGGTCTGGAGCGGTCAGCACACCAGTGCACGGGGCAGGTCTGGGGTGGTCAGCACACCAGTGCACGGGGCAGGTCTGGGGTGGTCAGCACACCAGTGCACGGGGCAGGCATGGAACGGTCAGCACACCAGTGCACAGGGCAGGTCTGGGGTGGTCAGCACACCAGTGCACGGGGCAGGTCTGGGGTGGTCAGCACACCAGTGCACGGGGCAGGCATGGAACGGTCAGCACACCAGTGCACAGGGCAGGCACGGAGCGGTCAGCACACCAGTGCACAGGGCAGGTCTGGGGTGGTCAGCACACCAGTGCACAGGGCAGGTCTGGGGTGGTCAGCACACCAGTGCACAGGGCAGGTCTGGGGTGGTCAGCACACCAGTGCACAGGGCAGGTCTGGGGTGGTCAGCACACCAGTGCACAGGGCAGGTCTGGGGCGGTCAGCACACCAGTGCACAGGGCAGGTCGGGGTGGTCAGCACACCAGTGCACAGGGCAGATCTGGGTGGTCAGCACACCAGTGCACAGGGCAGGTCTGGGGTGGTCAGCACACCAGTGCACGGGGCAGGTCTGGGGAAGTCAGCACACCAGTGCACAGGGCAGGTCTGGGGTGGTCAGCACACCAGTGCACAGGGCAGGTCTGGGGCGGTCAGCACACCAGTGCACAGGGCAGGTCTGGGGCGGTCAGCACACCAGTGCACAGGGCAGGTCGGGGTGGTCAGCACACCAGTGCAGGGGCAGGTCTGGGGTGGTCAGCACACCAGTGCACAGGGCAGGTCTGGGGTGGTCAGCACACCAGTGCACGGGGCAGGTCTGGGGAGGTCAGCACACCAGTGCACAGGGCAGGTCTGGGGTGGTCAGCACACCAGTGCAGGGGCAGGTCTGGGGCGGTCAGCAACCACAGGGTCCCCAAGAAACCTGCTAAGGAGCAGCGCTGTGCAAAGGGCCTCTCTGGCCACCCAAGGAAACAGAGGTGGACACACAGGCACTGAGTTCTGAAGGAGAAGCTGGCACCGGCAGCATGTCTCACCAATTTTATTTCGTTTTTCAATCTCAAGAGAAGGAGTGATGTGGTAGGAACAGAACCACCTGGCGACAGTGGAACTCCCGACACCCTTAGGACAGAACACCGAAACTCACAATGGCGCCTGCGCAGGGGGGGGTCCCAGGTGACAGGTGGGTGCTGTGCCCGGCACGGCGTCGGCTCTCAGTCGGCAAAGCCTGCAGCCATAGAGGTGCTCCTGTCAGAGGCAGTGATGGTTCTCTCAGAGAGGAGCTGTTTGACAAAGGAATTAGCTCCAGAAGCTGCAAATATTTGAGCTCTGCCTCGTGGCTCAGTGAGGGAGCAGGGAGCCTGCTAGAGCAGAATGTGGTACTTCAGGGCCCTGGGAACCCTGTTGATGACCAGCCTCCCGTCGTAACTCAGGGAGGCAAACAGCCACGGGTCGGCTGAGGACCAGTCCACGGCGTACACGCTGTCCTCATGCTCCTCATAGGTGGCGATGACGCTGTCCCGCAGGGGCTCCTTCAGCCTGCAACCCAACAGAGGCAGAGGTGTGAGCAAGGGCCTTCCGTCAGGTCCACTCCAAGGGCCTCTCGCACAGCTCCTGGCCTGTGAGCCACAACCAGGGCCTGCTGTGTCCCCGCCAGACACAAGGAGCCCTGAGGAGACCCCCATCATCCTGGCTGGGCAAGGCCACCCTGAACTCCACAGGGCCAGGGAGGAGGCCCGTGGCGCAAGGAGAGAACTCCCCACACATCAGGTGATACGCACATGAAAGAATCAATCTCACCGGATGAGTAGGCAAAAAAGAATTAGAAAAGAACAAAACATCATAGAAAACAACAAAACGATAGGAATTACTACACACTTCCAATAACTGAATGTCAATGATCTCAAGCCTTCAGTCAGAAGACAAACACTGGCAGACTGACTGAAGCAAGACATAACCATTTGTTGCCTATGAGAAGAAACACAAGCCACCCACCAAAACAAACACAGGCTTCAAGTAAGAAAATGGAAGGAGATTGTCCAAGCAAAGGAAACCCAAAAGCAAGCAGCAATAGCTACACTTTTATAATATCTGTGAAGCATATTTTAAACCAAAATTAATCATAAGAAACAAAGAAAACCACTTCAAAATGTTAAAGCAAACAATCCATCAGAGCATACAATAATTGCAAACAAAAATCCTACACCATGATCAGGTTGGTTTAAATCTAAGGATGCAAAGATGGTTCAGCATGTGCAAATCAATAAACATAATTGTAAAAGAAAAAAACAACAAAAGGCTCACATTTGGCATTCAGCACAAATGCAGAAATATACAGGAACCATACTTTATTTATCTATTTATTTGTTTTCAGTTTTTGGTGCTGGTCCTAGGGCTTGAACAGAGCCTAAGATCTGTCCCTGAGCTTTTCTGCTCAAGGCTAGTGCTCTGCCACTTAAGACACAGTTCCTCTTTTCTGGCTTTTTGGGGTGTTAAGTTGAAGGCAAGAGTCTCACAAACTTTCCTGCCCGGGCTGGCTTTGAACCACGATCCTCAGATCTCAGCCTCCTAAGTACCTAGGATTACAGGCATAAGCCACCAGCATCTGGCTTGGAACCCATATTTTAAAACCACACATTGTGGAGACCCTTGAAGGCCTCCTAGGCCCGGTGGGCTGTTTCTGTCTTGTGTTGTCTGTTAGCTCCCAGGCTGGGTATAAGCACACACCAGTGGGACGCTTTGCACAGATCCAGTTGCTGTGAGCACGGAATGCACTGCGCTCATGAGAGTCCCTTTGCCACCCGGGGCCCTTACTTCTCATCAGCCTGGTGCTCCTCTGGGTCACTGATGTCATCGTCATCCACCAGGTGGCCAAAGGGTTCGGAGGAGATGGACACCATGTTGGACAGGATGACTCTGCTGTCACTACTGCCGGTGAGGACCAGCTGGTCATGAGAGTGGTTGTAGCGGACGCTCCACACCCTGCAGAAGGCATGCGGCTGCTGAGATACGGTCACGGGCAATGGACCCAGCCTGACCGACAGGGGTTGCACTGAGTTCTGCTGGAAATCAATACCTAACCCTTTCGCCAAGAGCCGGGGCCTTCATCAGGGAGGCACACCCACCCTAGGTTGCGCTAACATATTCCTTTAGGTCCCAACAGAGACCAGAGAGAATAAATGTCAGCACACATATGCAGAAGGCTTATCATTCGATATTCCAGTTGGGCTGAAAGTCTAAAACAAGCGCTGTCTCCCCAGAGCAGCATACAGATGAGTCATGACCTAAACATCAAGTGCTGCCAGCCTTCCCCCTGGAGCACTGCCATAGCCCAACCCAGGTCAGGCCCACTGGGTCTCATCTGCTAGGCCTCTGGTCATGCTGAGGCTGAGGCGGGCTCCGGGGCCTGGCAGTGGGGTTATGGCACACCTCCTATGCAGAAGGGGCCCTGGGTAGTGGGCATGGCTAGACCTGCAGCAGCAAATCACAGCCGCTCACAGAACTTACCGTGTACTCATGGCACACGCACACTCTGGGACTTGGCAGAAACAATACACTCCTGACCGGTAACGCAGAGGAGGGAGCCTGTCTGGAACCCCTCTTCACTGCGAGAGGATTCCTGATGAGAAAAATCTTGGCCCTCCAGGCTTTTCCTCCCCATGCATGTAGGTCAACACACCCACACACACAAACACGTAATACAAATTCGGATTCATACTCTACCTACTGTTCCACAACTAAATCTCTGACTCACTTAGCAAAAAAGTACCCAGCCTCTGGTAAACATTCCAAAAACATTCGAGGGAGGATGAATGGTGTGGGTCGGCCTTCCACATCTGCACACAGGGGCCCGCAGCCTCCTGACAGCGGCCGCCCCACACCACGGCCTCACCCGAGTCCTACACCAGCCCCCGACGGACATTTGCGTCACTTCCAGTCTCCATGCATGGCAAACAATGCGGCACGAACATCTGTGCACATTTATTTTTACATACTTGAACCGGCACTGTTTCAAGAGAAAACAGAATCTAATGTTTTTCTTCTCTTCCTATGCTTATAAATCACAAACATTCAGATTTGGAATTAGTGTTTCTTTAGGAAAAATAAAACTGGGCTGATTGAATGATTCACAGCAGCACAAACTAAGCTGGTTTGTGCCTTTCTAAATGGTAAAGTAATTAGCAAAATAAATTACATAATCCCCTCTTCCCCAGAGCGGGGGTACCAGTGCGAGTGCTCCTCCAGGGCCTTCACGGGCTCCGTGACGTTCCGCGTGTCCCAGAACTTCACCTTGCAGTCATCTCCGCAGCTGGCTAAGTAGTACTGCTTATTGGGATTGAAGTCGAGGTCACGCACCAGCTGTCCGTGGGCATTCTCTATGCAGTATATCTGGCTGAGGAAGGAAAAAAGAACAGCACATACCAATATTAAGTGGATTACAGAGAGCCGGCGAGCACGGCAGGCCTGTGGTCTCCCAGGGTGCTGAGCTCCCCGTGCCAGGGCACAGCTGATCTGCTCCCTGTCATCGTGGGGCTGGGCAATCCCGGCCGGGAACCCTGGGCCCTTCTATGTGCGTCCCCTGCGCAAGGAGGCTGGGCACGGAGCCCAACAGCCCCTGGGACGGGCCTGGAGCACCCACCACGCCCAGAGGCAGCTCTGCCAGCCATGGAGATGGCCCGGCTGGCCGCTGGTGTGGAGAGAGTGAGAGCGTGCCACAGGCGCGGCATCTGCCGTGGAGAAGCTGGACAGACCGCAGAGAGAATGACACGCTGGGGAAGGATCCAGCAGAGCAGATGCGCTGCTGGTACTGGGGACACGCAGAGGAGGAGAGCGGAAAGCCTGTGAGTAGTGAGGGAGCCCAGGCCTGCCTTGGCTGGGTTTGTTCTTCAATTTATGTGTTTCCACTCTGGCACCAGGGCTTGCACCCAGAGCCTCACTCTCCACTCAGCTTTCTTGCTGATGGCCACTATTTTTGCCAATCCTTCAGCACAGCTTTTTGCTGGCTGGAGATGGACTCTCATAGGACCGTGGACAACAGGTCGCGGCCTCCTGGGACCACTGGTGTGGCTGAGCCCCGGTGCCTGGCCACTGGGCTGGCCCTTCCCTCACACCAGGAACTCACCACTAGGTGGCCTATTCCCAGCCTCTTGCCTAGTCAGGAGTCACAGGACAGGACTTGTGGTTGAAGCTAGTCACACGGTAGCTGACAGGGAATATGCTAATGTGTACGTGCACACAGGCACGTGGGCACACCTATACATAAGCACGCTAACACAATTCCCCACCCACGTACAGAAGGGGACACACATACAGGCATACACATAACCTACCCACATCCCTGTTTCTCACAGCATGTGAAATCTGAGTATCTGCCTAGTAGGGTTCCTTCTAGCAGGATGTACCACAGAGCAGGTAAGGCTGACAGTGGCTGGCGGGACCTGGCTGTGCACCATCCACACCACATGGTATTCGTCCCAGGGGACCCCACCTAGGGGACCCCACCTCGGGGCCACTGACCTCACACCTCCTCCTCCTCCTCCTCCTCCCTTCCTCCTCCCTTCCTCCTTCTTCCTTCCTCCTCCCTTCCTTCTCCTCCCTTCCTCTTCCCTTCCTCCTCCCTTCCTCCTCCTCCTCCTCCCTTCCTCCTCCTCCTCCCCCTCCTCCTCCTCCTCCCAGGGGCCCCACCTCTGCCATCACTGACCTCACACCTCCTCCTCCTCCTCCCTTCCTCCTTCTTCCTTCCTCCTCCCTTCCTTCTCCTCCCTTCCTCTTCCCTTCCTCCTCCCTTCCTCCTCCTCCCTTCCTCCTCCTCCTCCTCCCCCTCCTCCTTCTCCCAGGGGACCCACCTCTGCCATCACTGACCTCACACCTCTGCCAGCACTGACCTCACTTCTCCTCCTCCTCCTCCTCCTCCTCCTCCTCCTCCCAGGGATCACACCTCTGCCAGCACTGACCTCACACTGCCACAGCTTTCACACGGCTGGTGAACTGGGGACTCCATGTCTTGTGGCTCTTTCCAGAAAACCACAGGTCCCTGCTCCCCACACCGGTCAACTCCTCCACAGCCCTCTGTCCTGCCCCAGGTTGGAGTTCCAAGCCCAAGTCATGTTACACCTTGAGCTGATTTTAAACCGTGCACCACCTTCAGTGTCCTGATTTTGTTCCCTTAAAATAAGACGTACCAAAAGACCTCTCTCATGAAATAGGCTGAGGTGTATCATCACTGAAAGGTCACTGAGTGACTCAGTAGCAGGAACTCTACGTTCCAGAAGAGACAGGGACGGCATCCAGGTGAAGCCAAACCACAGCCAGCTACCAAAGCATCAAGGGCACAGTGGAAGTGGCCCTCTTCCTGGGGGTCAGCGTCTGGTTGTAAGGACAGCCCTGGCCCAGCCAAGATGCTACAGGATGCTAGAGCTGGAGCTTGTTTTGGTCTGCGATTCAGTCTTTGGCTCCTGGTCCTTAGAGGGTAAGTTCTTCACATCCTTCAAGGAGCAATGAAAAGAGGACTAGAGGACTCTTGGCAATGGCTGCAGTGGGATTCTCATCCTATGTGGTCCCACAGCCTCCAGCTTGGTGAGAAACCTTACTGCAGACATGCAGCAAGGCGGGGAGGGACGGGTTATTTATTAGCCCTTGGATTTTCAGCAAAGCTGTGGAACACTTTGGGTGTGTGCACCCCCACCCTGGAAGCAGCACCCGGTATTACAGGACCTCTATCTCCTCAGCTCAGTGATAAATGATGGCATGCTAAGGGGATAAACTGCATCTTAAAGCAGCCTGTGTGGGCTTTCTGTTGCCATGGCAACAGACATCCTACCATCACTCCTCTGCCTATCAAAATCACAACTGGAACAGAAAAATTGCTCTTGTTTGTTCCATTAGAACGGCTGGTTGTTGCATATAATTACTTAAATGACAAAATATGATTACTGGATAGGTATGTCTCTTGAAAGCACAGAAATGGTCAAAGACAACGCCGTGGGGGAGACTCAACTTCTGCCACCCTGCGGCGTTCAAACAAATGAGCCTTTGAGCCAGCACAAAGCCCCAACCTTGCTTTCAGCCCTGCCACTAGCAGGGACAGAGGGGCACAGCCAGCCACTGCGGAGTGCACAGACCCACGGACCGCCTGTGGTAACGTCTTCTGGAGGGAAGATGACCCCCAAGAGATGCGGGGATGCATCCGTGTCAGCCCCGGGCCTCCCCGCGGGGCGGGGCACTGACCTCATGCTCCTCGTGTCCCAGCCTCGGAGGGTGGTGTCACTCGCGGTGGCCACCTGCGTGCAGTTGTGGTGCGGGCCCCACCTCCCGGAGGTGAACCTCAGCTGCCCCTTCCCTTCCAGAGCCGCAGAGCCAGCCAGCTGGGAGCACCGAGGAAGAAGAAGAAGAGAAGAGAAATTTGAACTCTTTTCAGAAAACTCAGAAGGACATACATGATACTCCTAAGAAGATAGAGAAAATAATTATTAGATCCATTAGGAAGCTCTCTGCCTTTTGTTCTTCCCTTAAAAGGCAAGAATGGTTGAACCTTATTTGGGGGGAAAAAACTATGAAACGGAGCACAGTGAAAAATAGAAAGTATATTAATAGAGTCTTATTGCAGAGGACTTGTTCAGTGTGTCATTAGAGACAATCAGCTCAAACTTGAAGAAAACAATAGAAAATAACTCAAACATCTGGCTCCCCCCAGAGACAGAACAAGTGAGGGCCACAGGACGGATTCCTTCCTGACTGACAAAGGACTGGCAGATTTTACTGAGTCAATGCACTTCCTTCCTGTCTCCCTCCTGATTGGGAAGATCTCCAAATCCTTGCGTGAGAGTTCGTGAGAGCTCCACGGGCCCAGGCAGTACCAGGAGTCAAAGCCCGCCTCAGCCTGAGAGAAAGCAAGCAGGCGGCGTGCAAGGATGCAGAGAGCCCTCTCCGTGACTTCACCTCTCCCTGCGGGACCTGTGAAAAAGGTCTGCCGCCAAGGACACCCGGTCCACCCCATGTGTGGCCAGAACCCAGTCATGTGGAAGCGTCTGCAGTCAGGGTCTAAGCCCGCCGTGGTGGCATGTCTCCCTCACTTTGCACTCAGCCTGTCCCGGAACTCTTCAGGGTCCCTGCAAGCAGGCAGGTAGGCTGGCAGCCCAGGACAGAGCCCGGGACAGAGGCCCTGGGGCAGGCCAGCATGCTGATGTGAATTCAACTGGAGAGGGAGGCCCAAACCCGATGCACTGAGTGGCTGTGCCTAAGGTCCTGACCAGAAACCGCAGCACTGAGAGCATCCAGTGCCAGCCGCACAGGGCAGGCACAGGGGTCCCCGCGGGGAGCCAAGGGGTGCACCTGGAGCTGAAGGGCTAGGTGTGTTCTGAGGCTCCCGGGCTACAGGGTCTTGGCCTTGCCAGCCGAGGCCACTGTTGTGAAGCTGAGTTGAGAGGGTCACGGCCACTGTGGCAGCCACAGGGACACGTTCTTCAACCCACAGAAACACTAGGAAAGCCACCCAGGAACCCCAGCCCCCCACATGCAGTGGAGCCTTGTGAGAAGCCCAGGGCAGGCAGTGGGACATGAACACACAGCAGGGCAGGGGGGTACACTGGGGCAGGCGGGTACACTGGGGCAGGCGGGTACACTGGGGCAGGCGGGTACACTGGGGCAGGCGGGTACACTGGGGCAGGGGGGTACACTGGGGCAGGGGGGTACACTGAGGCAGGACAGGTACACTGGGGCAGGCGGGTACACTGGGGCAGGCGGGTACACTGGGGCAGGCGGGTACACTGGGGCAGGCGGGTACACTGGGGCAGGCGGGTACACTGGGGCAGGGGGGTACACAGCGGGCAGGCGGGTACACTGGGGCAGGCGGGTACACTGGGGCAGGCGGGTACACAGCGGGCAGGACAGGTACACTGGGGCAGGCGGGTACACTGGGGCAGGCGGGTACACTGGGGCAGGCGGGGACACTGGGGCAGGCGGGGACACTGGGGCAGGCGGGTACACTGGGGCAGGCGGGTACACTGGGGCAGGGCGGGTACACTGGGGCAGGGGGGTACACAGCGGGCAGGCGGGTACACTGGGGCAGGACAGGTACACTGGGGCAGGCGGGTACACTGGGGCAGGGGGGTACACAGCGGGCAGGCGGGTACACTGGGGCAGGCGGGTACACAGCGGGCAGGCGGGTACACTGGGGCAGGACAGGTACACTGGGGCAGGGGGGTACACTGGGGCAGGGCAGGTACACAGCGGGTCAGGACAGGTACACTGGGGCAGGCGGGTACACTGGGGCAGGCGGGTACACTGGGGCAGGGCAGGTACACTGGGGCAGGGGGGTACACTGGGGCAGGACAGGTACACTGGGGCAGGCGGGAACACAGCGGGCAGGCGGGTACACAGTGGGCCAGGACAGGTACACTGGGGCAGGGCAGGTACACAGCGGGTCAGGACAGGTACACTGGGGCAGGGCGGGTACACTGGGGCAGGGCGGGGACACTGGGGCAGGACAGGTACACTGGGGCAGGGCAGGTACACAGCGGGCAGGCGGGTACACTGGGGCAGGCGGGTACACTGGGGCAGGCGGGGTACACTGGGGCAGGCGGGTACACTGGGGCAGGACAGGTACACTGGGGCAGGCGGGTACACTGGGGCAGGACAGGTACACTGGGGCAGGCGGGTACACTGGGGCAGGCGGGTACACTGGGGCAGGACAGGTACACTGGGGCAGGCGGGTACACTGGGGCAGGACAGGTACACTGTGGCAGGCGGGTACACTGGGGCAGGCGGGGACACTGGGGCAGGCGGGTACACTGGGGCAGGACAGGTACACTGGGGCAGGCGGGTACACTGGGGCAGGGGGGTACACTGGGGCAGGCGGGTACACTGGGGCAGGCGGGTACACTGGGGCAGGACAGGTACACTGGGGCAGGCGGGTACACTGGGGCAGGCGGGTACACTGGGGCAGGCGGGTACACAGCGGGCAGGACAGGTACACTGGGGCAGGCGGGTACACTGGGGCAGGCGGGTACACAGCGGGCAGGACAGGTACACTGGGGCAGGCGGGTACACTGGGGCAGGCGGGTACACTGGGGCAGGCGGGTACACTGGGGCAGGACAGGTACACTGGGGCAGGCGGGTACACTGGGGCAGGCGGGTACACTGGGGCAGGCGGGTACACAGCGGGCAGGACAGGTACACTGGGGCAGGCGGGTACACTGGGGCAGGCGGGTACACAGCGGGCAGGACAGGTACACTGGGGCAGGCGGGTACACTGGGGCAGGCGGGTACACTGGGGCAGGCGGGGACACTGGGGCAGGCGGGGACACTGGGGCAGGCGGGTACACTGGGGCAGGCGGGTACACTGGGGCAGGGCGGGTACACTGGGGCAGGGGGGTACACAGCGGGCAGGCGGGTACACTGGGGCAGGACAGGTACACTGGGGCAGGCGGGTACACTGGGGCAGGGGGGTACACAGCGGGCAGGCGGGTACACTGGGGCAGGCGGGTACACAGCGGGCAGGCGGGTACACTGGGGCAGGACAGGTACACTGGGGCAGGGGGGTACACTGGGGCAGGCGGGTACACTGGGGCAGGGCAGGTACACTGGGGCAGGGCAGGTACACAGCGGGTCAGGACAGGTACACTGGGGCAGGCGGGTACACTGGGGCAGGCGGGTACACTGGGGCAGGGCAGGTACACTGGGGCAGGGGGGTACACTGGGGCAGGACAGGTACACTGGGGCAGGCGGGTACACAGCGGGCAGGCGGGTACACAGCGGGCCAGGACAGGTACACTGGGGCAGGGCAGGTACACAGCGGGTCAGGACAGGTACACTGGGGCAGGGCGGGTACACTGGGGCAGGGCGGGGACACTGGGGCAGGACAGGTACACTGGGGCAGGGCAGGTACACAGCGGGCAGGCGGGTACACTGGGGCAGGCGGGTACACTGGGGCAGGCGGGTACACTGGAGCAGGCGGGTACACTGGAGCAGGTGGGTACACTGGGCCAGGACAGGTACACTGGGGCAGGGGGGTACACAGCGGGCAGGCGGGTACACAGCGGGCCAGGACAGGTACACTGGGGCAGGGGGGTACACTGGGGCAGGGGGGTACACAGCGGGCAGGCGGGTACACAGCGGGCAGGCGGGTACACAGCGGGCAGGGCGGGTACACTGGGGCAGGGCGGGTACACTGGGGCAGGACAGGTACACTGGGGCAGGGCAGGTACACAGCGGGTCAGGACAGGTACACTGGGGCAGGGCAGGTACACAGCGGGCAGGCGGGTACACTGGGGCAGGCGGGTACACTGGGGCAGGCGGGTACACTGGGGCAGGCGGGTACACAGCGGGCAGGACAGGTACACTGGGGCAGGCGGGTACACTGGGGCAGGCGGGTACACAGCGGGCAGGACAGGTACACTGGGGCAGGCGGGTACACTGGGGCAGGCGGGTACACTGGGGCAGGCGGGTACACTGGGGCAGGCGGGGACACTGGGGCAGGCGGGGACACTGGGGCAGGCGGGTACACTGGGGCAGGCGGGTACACTGGGGCAGGGCGGGTACACTGGGGCAGGGGGGTACACAGCGGGCAGGCGGGTACACTGGGGCAGGACAGGTACACTGGGGCAGGCGGGTACACTGGGGCAGGGGGGTACACAGCGGGCAGGCGGGTACACTGGGGCAGGCGGGTACACAGCGGGCAGGCGGGTACACTGGGGCAGGACAGGTACACTGGGGCAGGGGGGTACACTGGGGCAGGCGGGTACACTGGGGCAGGGCAGGTACACTGGGGCAGGGCAGGTACACAGCGGGTCAGGACAGGTACACTGGGGCAGGCGGGTACACTGGGGCAGGCGGGTACACTGGGGCAGGGCAGGTACACTGGGGCAGGGGGGTACACTGGGGCAGGACAGGTACACTGGGGCAGGCGGGTACACAGCGGGCAGGCGGGTACACAGCGGGCCAGGACAGGTACACTGGGGCAGGGCAGGTACACAGCGGGTCAGGACAGGTACACTGGGGCAGGGCGGGTACACTGGGGCAGGGCGGGGACACTGGGGCAGGACAGGTACACTGGGGCAGGGCAGGTACACAGCGGGCAGGCGGGTACACTGGGGCAGGCGGGTACACTGGGGCAGGCGGGTACACTGGAGCAGGCGGGTACACTGGAGCAGGTGGGTACACTGGGCCAGGACAGGTACACTGGGGCAGGGGGGTACACAGCGGGCAGGCGGGTACACAGCGGGCCAGGACAGGTACACTGGGGCAGGGGGGTACACTGGGGCAGGGGGGTACACAGCGGGCAGGCGGGTACACAGCGGGCAGGCGGGTACACAGCGGGCAGGGCGGGTACACTGGGGCAGGGCGGGTACACTGGGGCAGGACAGGT